TTACCCTGAAAGGAGTTAAATGCTCTTTTTCCTCTGAAGAACAATTTTTTATTTTTCCTGACAAGGCCTTTTATGCAATTAGCTAGAGAAGCCATGGCCAAAAAGAAAGAATAACACATGTAAAATCATGCCAGAGAACAGAGTAGGTAGTAACTTGTTGAGTCTATTACTAGACAAAATGTTTAAGTCAATGGTGTGTTCTCATAAATCAACAGCCGTATTTAGATGTAACTATAACCATCCCGGAGCAATGTGGAACAGAGAGAAAACACTTCAGGAAAAAAAAAAATGGTGATGCTCTTGAAGTGAGGAGGGGAGGAAGCAGCAGATGAGACAAGCACAGGGTAGGGTCAGCTCCCAGACAAGGAATTTATTTCGTAGGTCAGAATTGAGGTGCCGCAGCATGCAGGGCTGAGCAGAGGCTGCCAATCACACTGACTCGCACCCAATCTGGTGGTGATTTGGAGATGGTAAAGAACCATTTGAAACTAGTTAAAACTTGGACATTTATGTGGGTTGTATGCTAAAACAAAAATCGAGCCCAGAAGAGCCAAAACTTTATGCTGCACATTCGGAGACAAAAGGGTTTGCATTACAGACCATAAAAGATCATTCCTTTTCAATTACACTTGACAGACCTAAGTGATTATAAGAGGAATAGGTTTGGAAAGGGGGAAAGGAGTAACAGTGAACCAGAGAACAGAATGTAACTCAAGAAACAAAGCAAAAATCTATTCGGATCCTTTTATTTTTTAAGCTCGGAGAGTGAAGGGTCGTCTCTTTTCACTCCTCCATCTATATTTGTCCCCTTACCCTTCCGGTTGAGCTGGTTTGATTCAGATTGAGGGCCCCTATTCATTCCAGTCAGGCAGCTTTTCTGTAAAGCTGTTTACCGAGCCCATGCTACGCTCCCGCTGACAGGATTTCACTGCTTTCCAGAAAAGTGATGGATTTCTCCCATAGCACAGTTTCTAAAGGTCCCTTCTTCAGCAATGTCCTCTGCAGCACAGAAACATTTAGTAGTTTTGTTAAAGCAGGGGCTCTAACCTGAAGAAAGATACTTTGCCAACCATGAACTCTGCAGCTCATTAGTTTGATTTGCAGCAGTGCAAGCAAAGCTCCCAAACACAAGTTTCTGTTCAGTGGCCGGTGAATACACACCAGGGAGCAGGGCACGCACATGAACCATCCTCAGCTCCTTGCCTGCAGACTGGGAAGCAGCAGCCTTTGGGGTCCTTAGGCTAGAAAAGCCTAAGTAGTACACACACGGTGGAGGTTTCTTCCTAGCCCTACCTGTCTGTCTCACCTTATTTGCTTCTGTGCAGCAATCCTACCAGGCAGAGATGCTTTATACAGGTTTTGTTTGTTCATTCAGAGAAACAGTTTTACTAGAACCGGCTTCTCCATATGAAATCGAATAGAATTTGCTTCTGCTTTTGCTTGCAGTCCTTAACACACTGTCAGCACTCCCACTGAAGCAATCGCATTGAAAATAAGGGTTGCTTCTTCCAGTTCTGGCATTTGCACATTTTTATGAGATGCTGGGAAAGCCCAACTGGATACTTTTTTTTTTCCCCCCCTCCAAATGTTAGGCAATAACTAACAGATTCATGGAGTTTTGACTTGCCTCAGAACCAGGTGTTTCTGACATGTACCATGTCTCTCAAATATATTACACACTCTAATGCTCTTCTCTTGAAGAGCTTAAGCTTTTTATGTTCTCCTTTCCCCGCATTAACATGCAACAAGACTTTTAGACTTCCCTGACCACCAATTTAGTGTTTTGCCTTTTCAGTGGCATGCAGAGAAATCATGAAGGCATGTGAACTTTGCAAGTAGTCCGTCAGCTGGATATAGTAACCGGCATACAAAGTGCCAAGGTACTACAAATATTAAAAAAAAAAAAGCTGGACTGATTAGAGGAACCAACTCAATCAAGAGAGCAATCTAAACAAAAAACACCAGTCTGAAATTCACACTCAGTGATCTCCCAGTGGGCTAAAGCCTTATAGTGGCTGTAGCTGTAACCCAACTTTTGGAGCCAATGAACAATGCAGGTGCAGATATAATGCTCTTCTACTCCTCAGCTCAGTTGTCAGACTAGGTGCTAACTGTGGGAACCTCTGCAGGTTCACCTTCTTTAAGTCTTGATTTACAGCGTGGTTTTGCCATTAGTGACACACAGATGGAACCCCAGAAGGATTTCCAGTATAAAGCTCACCTCTACACTTCCAGAAAAAAAAAAAAGAGCATGCTAGGTGTGACTTTGGAGCAAGTTCTTTCCTCACCTGGATAACTTTCAGTATTATTGCCTTAGAACTGGTTCTGATAATGAATACTTGAATGTTTCTAGGAAGTTTCAAAAGGGCAGGGCAGTTTAAAATTGTTTGAACAATTATGATTGTAGAGCAAGCTCAGAATTGTTCTACATTTGTGGGAGGTCCTCCTAACTCAAGAGCTGCTCACTGTTCAATGGGGGACACGCCTGGTGGGACCCTCTTGAGCCACAGATGACATGTAGCATATCTGATGGAACAAAGATACAGGAGTAGCTGTGGCTGTTTGTAGAGTGTGTGCTGGCTGCTCATTTTATCCTGGTGTTTTGTCATGATTGACGACTGTAGAACAACCTTCTACAAAATAGTTTAGATCCAGTCAAATCCAAATTAGCATCTTATGACAAATGCACGAGGCAACCCATTGTGATGGTTCCGAATAGGATGCTGTCAAAAAGCGAATGGAGAATGAAAATTGAGATGCGTTACGTTTAAACTAGACTTTTGACCAGGAAGATCAATGACTGCATTTTTCTGTGCAGATTTACAGGCCAAATGAAACCCTGGTTTAACCTCTGAACTCAGAGGGTTTCATAAAGAGAGGAATTTGTCTGTAAGGGTCATGCATGTGCATGATTTACAGGCATTGCAAGATTGAAGTTGCAGTCATTTAAACCTAGAAGAGAAAGAGAAAAACCCACAAGAGGTCAGATAGGGAAAATGAGACTTAAGAATACTGCTCCCTGACCACTGGACAGCAATTCATATGCTAAATAACAGGACACAGGAAAAGGTGAAGCCCAGAAAGAAAAAAAACAGATGTTCTTGAAGAATTAGCACAACTGAAACGTGAGGTAGCTGTCTGCTCTCAGCGTCACTGATGACCATGGGAATTTAGATTCTGCGTTGCCCTCAACCCCAGTCCTCAGGCAGTTGACTGGTTAGTAAATGTCTGATCCTTCTCTTCCACTTGTGTGAAAACATTGGCATTGCTTTCTCCTCACCTCAAGTTGTTTTTCAACGTATGCACTTGTTGTAGCTGCTAAAAAAAGATGAGATGAGCCACGTCACCCCGAACAGCTGCACCAGCTGTGAGCAGAAACAGCATGCAGAAAACACACAGATGATAAACAAACTGGAACTCACTTCCAAATTTCAGAATTTGATAGAATTTCTGCAGCGCTCAGATACATGCTCATCAGACATGCCCAAAGGGTAAATATTTCCATCTCCAAGAGCTGTAAATGATTTAAAAGCGAAAAAGCTAATACAAACACCGAATATAACACTAATAAGTATTGAAAGCTGGCGCCGATACCACATTCAGTAGATGGTGGACTCCAAACTGATTATTCACCCACAGTGCATATTGCCTTTCTTTCCTCCCAGCTGGCATTAGTAAAGTAGAAACAGCCTGAATATCAGATTTTGAAAAATTTGTTACTGTAAGCCAGACTTGTAGCAGCATTTAAAACAAGACTGCATTTAATATAAAATTGAGCTATTTTCTGGCTGTTTGTAAAAAAAATGAAACGCGATCTAACATTAAGTAAACCAGATGATGCAGGTTTTTGAGGCCAAAATCCCATTCTAATGAGATTTTTTTTAAAGAATACATTAACAATGACACTCCTTTGTTCATGCAGACTAGTTTCTGGGAATGCAATGACAAAAGTTTTGCATCTGCTTGCGTATAGGACCAGTAATTGTCGAACATGCAAGTCAGAGCTTACAATCACAGATGAATGTTTATTCTTTCATAACTGGTATTACATTAATACTAGCTAGGGATCCAAACCCTAGACATGGTACTATAGAAACATAACAGATGCTCTGTTCCAAGGATCTCAGTTTAAAATTGACTCTGCAGCTTAACAGTAGACTAGGAAAGTCCCTTAAGGTACCAGTTGTTTTTAAAAAAAAGAAAAAATTAAAGCAATTTTTATGAATCACATTGACCTTTCTGAGCTATATTCTTCTCAAGGGAAATTTCATTTAATTTAGAGGAAACATTACCATTCTATTTGAAAGCAGTACAAGGATTTTTCTGAAGTGTCAGAATTTTCTTTGGAACAGAAAACCTTCCTGATATTACCAAACAAACTGAAAATCTTACTGATATCCAGAAAGCTGCAAAAGCAAAAGAAGTTAAAGAGTCTTATCAACGTGAATGGTCCTTGGGCTGTAGTTATCATTTATATCCTTTAATCTCTTTCTGAAAGGTCTGGGAATGCCCTGTGTTATCCATGAAACCTTATCGCAAAGTCACTTACTGCCCTCGCACCAGCTTCCTTCACCACCTAATCATGCAAGTACATTGGCAATTTTTGAGAGTGGACATCCTCACACGGAAATACAATCTGCAATTTGCAGATCAAAACCCGATTCAATTAAAATCAATATTATTTTAAAAGCTAGATGTTCAAAGCAGAGAGCAGAGCTATAAACATAAACAATTTAAGCTGTTTCCCAGCTATGAAGATGTGCAGTCCTAAGAAATTCTCTAAGAACTTCCAGCATTTGATGGGCTGTGGGACAACAGATACGGTTTGGTGACTGTTTCAATGAATTCACTGGACGAAAAGCCACTCTCGTAAGGAATCCAGTTCTCTGTTCTTAAATAGGAGATGTGGGAGGGTATGCTTCCCCACCATCTAATTTCTTTGTCAACCAGATGAAAAATTGTGGATTTTAATTCCTTTCCCACTTTTGTTTCCCACACAGGCATATCATAGGCAGGTTTCCTGACTATCCTACTGAAGAGGCAGGAGGTTCAATGGCTATGCTTTCTGAAAGAACTCCGGAGGAGGTACTGGCACTCCTTAAAAAAGGTTAATGGGAATGGGGAAGGAATTGCCACAACACATGTCTGTTAGTTTAAGCAGCAGTTTTTCGTAACAGTGGCCTCTAGTACTCCAGGAACCTTAAAGTTAAAAAGTTTCATGCTGCAAGTGAAAGAATTGTTTTCTTCAATGGTAAACTACAGAAGTCACATAGCACAATTTGTTCCCTTTCAGGATGTGCAGCCACTTAGTCATGGTGGAAGGTGCTCAGGCATGCAAGTTGCAGACAGATAAATGTCTGAGTGAGCTAAGAGGAAAGGCCCCCAGCTACAAAGACTTACTCTCCTGTTGCAAAATCCAACTAGTTAGACTGGTGCTAGCTACTAGTAGAAGTATATATTAAACAGTTTAAGGAGTCTTGGTTTAAAATAGGCCTCCAAAGCTACTCCAGGTGCTGAAATTGGTTCCAATGCATTTGTATTCAATATCAGCATGGTCTAGCAATAACTACTTTAGTTTAAGCAGACAAGAGTTTCTCATGCAGGCAAGCCTAAACCTTGATGTACTGCTAAGGATTATTAAGTGAGATTGAACATTCAAGGTAAGTATCTTAGTTTATCTTATGTGTTCTTGTAGTGAACTCAGTTATTTTTCCTGGTAAATCCCACTTCTGATTTTTCTGGCTAATAGAAATGGCTGATAATCGCCTCCTCTAATCATCTATGTGTCACACAGAGAAAGTGATTAAGACCAGTCATGATAGTGAAGACAGTGGCTGGCACTCAGAACCAATTCCACCCATCACAATGATCATAGCAGGATGATGAGTCTGTTCAGGGAAATTATAAAGAGGAAGCCTTGCACGCAGGAGCAGTATTTGGCCTCTGAGGGAACCAGGCATGGTGGCTACTAGTGGGCTAGGAAAACTAAATGGTCAAAAAACCTGACCCCTGTGATCCCTAAAGCAACCCTGTTGAGACAGACTGTTGCGTTCATCAGCTGCGTGCAACTGATGATCTAACACAGGTATGGTAAAATGATATTTTGGATTTGATCCTTTCTGGAATCACAGGGAAGAGCTTGGGGCATACTAACAGTTTGTGGTTTGAGTGGATGTAAATGCAAGCTAGTCAAGCACAAAGCACAGCACTGTAACTATTAGTTACTTTGCTTACAAAACTATGGAAGAAAACCCCTACAAACCATTCATACTCCATGCCTCACTAAAACTGAGCTTAAGACATGCTCCTGGTTTTAGACAAGTTCAGAGTATGCCATGGTCAACCCAGTTGACCTCTGAACCTAAGTTCAGTCCCAGTCAGAGCAAAAGAGACTCGTTGGTTGAATTTTCAGCTTCTAAAGTAGAAACACATGCCAGAGTCAAGAAGGCTTTGTTGGCTGCTCTGAGCAGCAGGGAAGCCACCCAGCAAGTATGGCTTATTGCTACAGAACGCTTTAGGGAACATGATGCTAATTAGACCTGCTATCAGCAAGGATAAACACAATTCGGAAAGAAAATGTTACGAAGAAGCTATACTGAGCAAAAGCACAGATGGCAATAGATTCTTGTCCCATCCTACTCGAGGCTTTGATTTCCCAACTTCAGCTATTTTACTGTCTTTCCTGTGCATCTGCTTTCGTTTTGCATTAAAAAAAAATAAGCCACACCAAAAGTCTAGAGAGATTGTTTTACTGCCTGTTTTCTCTGCATAAGAGAAAAATACCTGGAAGGAAAAAAAAGCCTGCATCTGTTTTCCCAGCAAATTTTTGCTAGCAATTACCTGATTTTCAAAGATTTTTGGGCCTGTTTTTTCTCCCTTTCAACCAGCACAGCCAAGAGTAGAATGTATGTCACATAACCTTATCAGATATGCAGACCACAGTTGGTAAAAGAAAGTTCAGTTCGATCATGATTTTACTTGAATGTCAGACAAAGTAAAACATTTTTGGTTCAACTGAGTCAGCTGCATATTAAAAATTCCCAAGGCAACTGGTTTTGTTCCACACTGGTCTACTGGGCAACATAGTAAATGAAATCCTGGCCCCATTGAAGTTAATAGTAGTTTTGTCCTTGACTTCAGGGGAGACAAGATTTCACCTCTTGTATATATGAGCTTCTGTGAATGGGTTGGTTACTCCCAAATTAAACTCCATGAAAAATCAGGACCGAACTGTATTTAAAAAGTGAGCATTTTATAAGACTTAGGTAAAGACACTTTGGGGAAAATAAAATACAAATTAATCACTTCACGAACCATTGCTGCATTATCATACATTCTATATTTCTTTATCCTTTGACAACTCTGACCTTACTTGACTTTGTAATGTAGCTGGCCTTCTGCACAAACTGCTTTCATGACATTTTACAAATATCTTTCAACAAGGTATGCCAGAGATCACGATGTGAAGTACTTGGTGGTTTAGTCAGAAAAATACTTATTGTCTCTTGACTGAAAAGAAGCCTTTCTCTACTTTACATACTCATCAAGGGAAATTTAAGATTCTGAGACATCAGTGTAATCTCCCTGCATCTGTTCCAGATGTCTATTCCTAATGTTTTTTTTCTGTTTTGTTCCAAAGTTAATCATCAGATGTGACAATTTTTAGCTTTGCCCTTAATACTGCCACCAACAGAATTATGATCTCTTCCTGTAGTTCATTAAGTCTCATCACCATGAAAATAAGCCAAGAAAGTTGCCATTTAGCAGGCACATTCCCCCTCTCCCAACTCCTCCTCATTTCCAGTATTGAATAACTTCTCCGAAAAAAAGATGCTTACTTACCCATATTTTGGTTGTACATTTAATTGCTATGTGGAGAACAAAGTCATTTCCACCACCTTACTGTAATTGCTGCATCTGATCCAGCAGCACCTAGAGAAGGGGTGAGGAAAAGTATGTGTCAGCTGCAGTGCAGACATACTCTCCTGATCCTTGCTTGGCACTCTGGGCAATACTACACCACTAATTGGTATTTCTTATTACCAACAGCTAAAGATCCCCAGTAATCCCAGTTATCACTTTGACTGTGAATGGCAGTGCAAGAGATCCTCAGTAGTTAGTTAGTATTTAATTAATATCTCTGCCTATTTCCCAAGTAGGGATGGTAAAATGCTGTTCTACAACATGCATCCCCCCAAATATCTGACTTTTATGAAATTAATGTATCACAAGTGGCTTTAAAGTGTCAGAGGACGACTCAAGAGGGTCTGTGGGGCTGTACTTTTTGTATCCTGCATTTTGCAAATATGCTTTTATCCCACCAGCAAATTCACCAGACATGCCCTTCAGTAATAGACACTGATGCCTGCAGTTACACTCACCTTTATTTCCTCTTCCACATTATTCCAAACATGCCTTTTAGAAATTATTAGACTGGATTTATGGAAGTGCTAAACATGCAGTGCCATCAGCTGGAGCTGGACACCTCAAAGCCTTGGAATACTCTGATTATTTCAAGTTAACCATACAAGAGGACAGAAATGGGACTCGGTCTCTGTTAAGCTACACAACGGACAGGTGTATTCCCCTCCAGACAACGATTCACTGTAATGAAGCTTTTCAGCAGGTAGACTCGTAGCCCAGTGTCTCTCCACTGCTTATGATCATGGTCTCTGTTGGCTAAGGTCAGGAGTACAGCTCATATGCCTAAAGCCAGGCAAAAAAAATAACCCCAAAAAAACACGAAAAGCAAACCGCCTACATTAAGCAAAGCTAACAGATTTTTCATAAACACACCCAGTGAAGATATTTTGAACTGTTTGCTGTGAAACGAAAAGTAAGTGAGTTTAAGTGGTGAGCTAAAGTATATCTGGGCAACACCTGCCAGATGGCAAAAAACTAGAGTATCTATCAGTCATGGACAGAAATGCACAACCATTAAAGCCAAGGGTAAGACTGTGGAAGATTCCATAAAGCTATGAAATCCCACCCTGCAAGAGACAGATCACTAGGATTGTTTTTAACAGCTTAGGCTTTGCTTGGAAGTGCACACCCAAAAGTAAACAATGCTCAGAAATGCCTCCCCAGGAGAACACTACATTATTAAAAGCTACACAAATGGATTTGTCTCTTAGAGGAAACAAATCCAGAACACAGACCCTCATCTACCTAGATGGGACAGAGTCCCAGGCCTACCGTGGTGAAAATAACTCCTCCAGCTGGCCAAAAAAGAAAATATCACCTTACAGAAATAATTAGCCTTCAGAAAGCTCGGTAATTGAGTGTCCTCAAGCTAAGAGGCGGGACAGGGGGAAACACATTTGCATGGTATGTACAAGGGATGCAGATGAGCCATCCAATGTTTGTCATGCTACTCTGGGACATGGGGATAGTCTCTTTTCCCATCTCAGTCTTGTTTTCTTGAAAACATTTCCCGCCCCCCCCCCCTCACAAAG